GCCCCGCCCCCAGTTTTTCTCTGTACAAAAATAGTCCACAAAAAAAAAAAAAAAAAGTCCAGAATTTTTAATAAAAGTTTTTCTTTTGTTGTTTGTTTGTTTCGTTGTGTTTAGTTTAGTTTTCCTTTCCCCCGCCCCCGGCCCCTTTTGTCTTACATATGCAAAAGAGGGAGTGTGCCATTAATGGCTGTGCCAGGAACAGGTGCGCTCTGGTAGTGTTGGGACATATGAAGTCTGCTTGGGGCAGCTGGTTCTGGTACCTCCGCACCTGGTAGATACATGCTGATCATGTCCCGGAGGTCCCCCGCTTGGCAAGGAGCCCTCGAGTGAGACGACGAAGTGACTACGGGGGGACTCGAGCTGGATTCCGTCTTGACCACCGAGCCCATGGAGCCCAGGGCCATGGCCGGGGTGCCCTGCTGCGAGTAGGACATGCTGTAGGTGGGCGAGCCGTTCATGTAGGTCTGCGAGCTGCTCATGGAGTTGTACTGCAGGGCGCTCACGTCGTAGCGGTGCATGGGCTGCATCTGCGCCGCGTTGTGCGCGTTCAAGCCCGGGTGCTGCGGGTAGCCGAGCTGCTCTTGCATCATCCCATAGCCCCCGTTGGTCCAGCCGTTCATGTGCGCGTAACTGTCCATCCGCTGGTTCACCCCAGCTCCCAAGGTGGCCCCAACCCCGACCCCGCTCGTCATGGTGTTGGTGCCCGGCGCCAGCAAGCCCCCCGGCAACGTGTACTTATCCTTCTTCATGAGGGTCTTGGTTTTCCGCCGGGGTCGGTATTTATAATCCGGGTGCTCCTTCATGTGCAGAGCTCGGAGCCGCTTGGCTTCGTCGATGAAGGGTCTCTTCTCCGCCTCGGATAAAAGTTTCCACTCGGCCCCCAGCCGCTTGCTGATCTCCGAGTTGTGCATCTTGGGGTTCTCCTGGGCCATCTTGCGCCGCTGCCCGCGGGACCACACCATGAACGCGTTCATGGGCCGCTTCACCCGGTCCGGGCTGTTCTTCTGGTTGTTAGCGGCCGAGTTGGAGTTGCCCGTGCCTCCCCCCGAAGTTTGCTGGGGGGCGGGCGGCTTCAGCTCGGTTTCCATCATGTTGTACATTCAAACTACTTTTGCCTGCGACCAGCCTGGAGAGGAGAAGCGAGCGGCGGCGGCAAAGTCCCGAGCCGGACTTTTTTTTTTCCTTTTTTTTTTCCTAGGGAGGGGTAGGAAAGGGGGGAGGGGGACTCCCCAAAACCACACTTGGATCAAGATCAGGATCTTCCTCTTCGCTGGTGGATTAATAATGCTAATAACTGCTATTATGAACGCCGGAGCCTCGATTAAAAAAAAAAAAAAAAAAACCTTCTTCCTCCTTTTCCCCTTTTCTCCGCTGCCTCTCTCTCGCTCTCTCTCTCTCTCCACCTCGGTCTTAAAGAGCCAGCAAACTACTTTCCCCCCTTTTGCAAACACACACACTCTCTCTCTCTGCCTTGACAACTCCTGATACTTTTTTGAACAAGTTAATAGACAACCATCCATGTGACGGGGGCTTGTCAGGCAATAAATGCGCGGGCCGCGGCCAATCAGCGCGCGGCGGCTCCGCCACTGAGGACAAGTCTCTACCCCTGGTTTTGCATGAAACGGGGCG